GTGCTCTTCCGATCTGTGAGCTAATACAATAACAATTTAATGACATAAACGACAACTGTCAAGTGCGACTGCAGCGCACAAAAATGTTGACCAAATTACGCTATCACCAAATTACGCTACTTTACCCTAATATAATGGCCATTGTTTTCTACAACCTTTTGTCATCTTTTAGGCAGCTACAAAATTCCTTGCATATAGAACTTGAATGTTTTTTTCAATGAAGAACTGTTGATGATGGTTTTTACAATCCTCCAAAAAAAATAAACTCTTTATTACTAAAAAAGTTTTATAAGGATCAGGACAAGTAATAATCTGAAGAAGCAATAATACATGAATATGCTGGATGCGATAAAATGTCCCTGAGTCACAATGTTTTGTTCTGAGTGATTAACATAAAAGATTAGCGTTGTCCTAATGGAATAAAACATCTTTTCTATTCGCGTCATTTTTCCGCAATAGCTTCCTTCAGTTTAACTAATTAAGTACAGTACTTGTCCAAATTAAATTCTTTGGAAATTTATTATTAAATACAAGACACTCTTCCAGTTTCATCAAATACACAGCATAATTTTGGATAAAGCCTAGGTTTTAGAGTAGTTAACAATTTTTCTAATACTTTCCCCAGAATCATCTGCGTTGTTACAGATAACTCATTTTTTATCACCTGTTACAAATCGTCTAAAAAAATGAGTAGTCTTTACGTTTAAGTAATGAATTGCAAATAAAAATGCGATCATGAATTAAATTTTTTTACTTAAATCATACGACACCCAAACATCTAAACAATTCACATATTTCAGCATATGCAAACATTCAATGACGATTGTATATGATAAACGGAATAGCTTGGCAATCTCCCGCGTCTTGTACCACTGATTATTCGCGATTAAAATTTTGATTTCATTGTCGTCAGCGACAACGGGTTAACCAAAGCGTTTTTCATCTGTGAGTGTCGTATCACCACCACGAACTTTGCAACTAGATATATATGTTCAGTTACGGCATTTTTCGTATATAAGGCACATATTTTCTTTTTCGTTTGCATTTTTTCCTTTTCAAAAATAAAACATTAGACAGCTGAGATACAACTTTTTTACTCCATTTCTCTCTTGATCTTGAAGAAAACGTTTCTACGTCGAACGATTTTTATGTAATAAATGCTTAGAGGTTACAATTGTTATATTATGCATTTACAATTCTCATAGGCCAGTATTCACAGTCGATTATTATATTTAAGACCATCTTGAGTACGATCTTAAGATGTCATAAGCCAATCACAGAACCATATTAGCATCTTAAGACATTACTTAAGACGGTCTTAAAATAAGAACTGATTATGAATATCGGCCATAGTATATGCATTTACATGATTTGAATTAATTGCTCACTAATAAAATATTAGAGCCATCTGGTGACAAAATACGATATTACTTTTCTTGCAATCCAACAAAATTTGCTTGTAATAATACTGTTAATAGATTTGCAGAAAAATATCCCAATATGTTATATGGCATAAATTAAAGAAGAAAATATTATAAATGGTTTCAAAGACTCTTGAGTCTAAGGGAGTTATAAATCCTTCTCAAAATTTAATCAAAATACGTACTATTGTTAGCAAACATCTCAAACAAGCGTAGAATGTGTATAAACAGAATGATGACCAGAAATGGAAAGTTACAAAAAAATATGATAGGTGACTGTAATAATACAAAATTTTGTAAGTGTTCCAAATAAGCCATCAAAACTGGTTCCCCAATTCAAAGGACTTTATCAAGTCATAAAGGTTTATAATGATCGATATGTTATAAGTTATATTATAAAAGGCTTTCAGATAATAAACACTTTATATCAAGGGAAACATCCAATATGTAATCTGGAATAGAAATAGTTGGATTAATTGAGTCGATTAATCATCAAGATGGCCGAATAATTGTAAGCGTCGTGATTAATGCGGTTGAATTAATCGAGTCAATTAATCATCAAGATGGCCAAAATTGTAGATGTCATGATTAATACACAAAATGAAATAATCTATGACATAAGAATAAATGTACAATTTAAAAATAGAAGTATAGAATAATCTTTTCACAGAAGATATTGTTACAAGAGAAGAACGTTTGAAAGATGTGCTATTAAAGCTCTGCAATTATAAGAGATCTCAATAAAATGTGTTGTCCTCTGTAAGAATTGTCGTTTTACTATTATGGCTTTGTCAAGTTAGGAGTCTTACAGCACGTACATATGCATATCATTAATAAAATCTATTAGTAATCAGAATAAAATTATGTTTAAACAATTGCACATTGTGGAATAAAAAAATATATGTGCATACACATAAAAGCAGTACATACCCATACATCAGCTCTTGGACCATCATAATGCTTTCCTTCAAAAATTTCAGGTGCAGCATATGGTGGTGAACCACACCATGTACTAAGTGGAACACCAGGTGTATATTCATTACTAAAGCCAAAATCAGCAAGTTTTATATTATTGTCTGCATCAAGTAACAAGTTTTCAGCCTAAAAAAAAGGAAGAAATTAATTATATGAATAACAATATATATACAATTTATAATAAATTTTATTAACAATTAAAATCGTAGGACATCCAATTTTGATATAACAACAATTGAACCTTAAGATCTCGATGAACTACTCTTTGTTGATGCAGATAATGAACGGCAAGTACAATCTGACGGAAAATTCTTCGTGCTTCTGGTTCTGGCATTCTACCATTTCGAACAAGATGATCAAATATTTCACCTCCAGGAGCATATTCTGTCACTAAATATATCATTTTCTCCGTTTCCATTACTTGGTACAGTCTTATAATATGTGGATGTCGTAACCTTTTCATTATATGCACTTCACGAAAAATTTTTGCTAAGTTTTCTTCATTTAGTTTAGTTTTATCTATTATCTTTATAGCAACCTGTAACAATATAAACACAATATCAATATAACTTAATATTCTAAGCAGCATGCAAAATTTCGGTCAAAAAGTTTATTTGATTATTCAAAAGCAGGATTTAAAAAGAAAGCTATAACCAATATTAATTATAAAAGTAAACTAGATAAAGGAAAATAATGTAAACAAATATTTTTATCTTGTATTTATTTAATAAATTGCAATTTTAAAAGTCTCCAGTCACTTTGTTATATGGAATAACTTTGTTAAGTGGAAAAAGTAGTGTAACTTATAATACAACACAAATAAGATTTTAGATCATATTGTTATTATTGATATTTGGTAATTGTGTATTTTACAGCAATAATAGCAACAAAATGTGGACTCGATTGAACAATATAATTTTCATCTAATTTTTTCATTTCAACAGTTTGTATATAATACTTATTTAAATATTTATATTCTTGGAATTTTCTTTCCATATATGTTCAATTGAATTTCTTTCCATAAAGTTCTTTCCACATATGTTCAATTAAATTAAAGTTGTGACAATTAAACTTTCAACATTCTTACAATGATTCTTTAATTAACTTTGATACATAATTATAATTGCTGTCATGCTAAAACATTCAATTTTATGCAAGCACGCACGCACCCATACATTTATTACGTACACACAAACACACGTACACACATACTTCTACACAATTTTTTTATAATATAAACATTTTTTTCAAAGATATTTCTGTATACATATAATATCTTTCTTGACTCTAAATATAAACTAATTTCATAAAAAATTCTATAAATTATAATGTTTTTTTCCACCATACTTCAGACAGAATTCAATCTAAAATCATTTTTTAACCAATTGAACGTTGGACATGTATTCTATTGCATCCAAATAAATGAAAATTTGATTAATCAAAAAAGTACATTTTTATTCTTCAGATATGTTCAAAATATTTGTACCTTTTAGCAAAAAAAAATTTAGTCTTATTTAATTTTATTAAATTTTCTTTATCTTAATTAATGATTTTTTAATGTTCATTAGATAAAAAATCCATCGTTATTTCATTTTGTAACACAAAACAACTAGCATTGAAAACTTTTTCCTCATATAATTTGCACATGTAGTCTATTTTTGTTCATATCTGTAATAAATTAGCATTTAACAATATGATTTACTTTAAAAATTTTGTTTTAATTATTTCTTTGATGATGAGAAAATTTAATAAGAGTCAATTTTTGTTGCTAAAAAGCATGAATATTGCGAATGTATCTGAAAAATAAAAAGGTACTTTTTTAATGAAAATCAAATTTTCATTTGCTCTAATACTTCATGAACTTTTTCAAACATATTCCACAGGATATTTCATAATTATTCCATTTACAATTTTGACTGTTCTATCAATAATAAAAAATATAATGTCATATTTCTATGTTTGATATATTTGATAATCTTTATCTTTGATCACTTTTTTCAATCTCACTGATGCATATCAAACCATATTATCAGTTTTATGATCAGAAGTTAATTATAATATAATACTTGCATTATTTATATATAAATATTTAAAGAATAACTCAAATAAACAAAGTGACCTGAAATTTTGCATTCAAGTTTACATATTTTCAAAGAAAATATACAAAACAATAGATAGTATTTGTTTAAAATATTATATTCTTTCACCTGTTTTATATATGTAAACACTGTTTTAAAACAGGTTTACAGCGTTCGAAAGCATGAATCTTTAGCTTTAATTTAAGCACTCGACCAGCATTGTGCGATTTTTTTCACCGAGTTATTCAACATTGACCATTTTTGCTTCAATGTTGAATAACTCGGTGAAAAAAAATCGCACAATGCTGGTCGAGTGCTCCAATTAAAGCTAAAGATTCACGCTTTCGAACGATGTAAACCTCATTTGCGTGCGATTTTTATTTTACTTTCTGGAACTTTGCAAAGTTTGCAAAAAAAATTCGTCAAATCTCAAAATCTCCCCCAAACTTTGCAAGGTTCCATGATCTGAATTAAATTTCGCAAATAAAT